GAACAGCGGCATGTAAACATTCTGTGTATATTTTAATAGTCGTGCATGTTTGTTGATGGCTATATGTACGTATGGTTCTCACATCCCATGCGTGGCCCTATCGTTAAAAATATATATATTTGTTTGTATTGAACTCTGCTGGTGGTTGCAAAATATGGTAATCATGTATATTCCTTTCTAAATTGTTTTCAACTGCCAAGACAAGGTTATTACAACTAACACATTTTTGTGGCGTTATCTGATTTTATTGTTTCTATTTAATCTTGTTTTAGGCCCTGAGGATGGAAATACATTTTCCGAACGCTGGAAAACAACAATGTTAAAAGTTTTTGGCTCCTAATGACTAAGCCCCGTACCGTAGTAATGACTTCAGAAAATTACTTCTCTAGCAACGCGGTTATGCGAGAATTGTTTTGTCCTTGACACCGAAAATCCGTTGAGATGAACGTTTCTGCCGACATTACAATTAAAAGTAGCCATGTTCATCATGATTGCAAATTGTTGAACTAGGTCATTGACTTGATTTGATATTCATGCGAACGTCCTTCCTAGTACATAAATGTGTATAAATGAATTCATTGCTTTCATTATGAATCTGGCCATGCCATGAAGCAACGAATCAACGAAAAGGCAATCAGTAGAAAATATTAATAGTGCAGTTTGAATGTTGTTAAGATGTGATGACAATCATAGCTCAGCATATTCTGAAGAAGAAAAGGTAAATCTGAAAAACTTAATTGGCAATTTTTTAAAAAAATATCACAGATAATTGAATTCTATATCAAAATTTATGTAGTTCGGACTATAAGTTACATGGAGACATAAACGTTTAAGCTCCCTTACCCATCAGTGTCGTTGTGTTTAAAGTAGCAAAGATTTGTTTTCGTATGATTCCTTTACACGTTATATATAGGATGAAGACTTCCGTTTAACAAATGCTTTGTTGTATTCTAATATCATTTTATTATTATTATTATTATTTTTATTATTAGTTTATTATTATTATTATACGTGAAACACACCTGCTCACACAATAGACCTAACAGTACTCGACAGGCGAAGTACAATGTTCTACATATTTCGATTAAAACATTAAGTTGGTTTACACTCGTGAGCTGACCATAATGACTCGATTATAGTGACTTCATTCTCCCGATGGATGACAGCGTCCCAGCTTTACCAGTGTCAACGGACTTATGTTTATAGATGTATGTAAATATTGCTTACCGCTTTCAGAGTCATTATAGGCGAAATGGTCTAGCTTGAAGTACTTCCGATCATCTTATCATTGAATATTTTTTGTAATACATAAAAATTAAACAGAATTAAAATTTAAGTCTTATTTAAATGCGATTGCAAGAACATCAATTGCATTTTCTTCGCAACTTTATTATTGTCCAGCTTAAAACTACTTTCAGGCTTTACATTGCCCCTTGAGGGGGTCGGGTGTCATTCGCTTCATACCACTGCCAATATTAGAGCAACTCACATATTCATGAGTATTAAACCTTTTACCACCAGAATAGGGGTGAAAATGAGGTAGACAAGGAAAAATTATAATATTTATTAATGTCACGGTTTGTAGATTACAAACTATCGCACTAAACTGCTATTCACTATTTTGGTAAGTTCTTCTGCGAAAATTAATTTTTAAAGAAACAAGATAAGGGCATCCAGTTTAAATTGTTGCTTTGTATGATTTGATTTTCTTTTTCACCTTGCACATACCGCAGAACAACAGAAAGTACAGAGCCGTGATTAAATAATCCAGGAAATCGGCATAAAAACAGTTTCTTCAGATCAAGAATTAAACGTTTCCTGTGCAAAGATAATGCAATTAGTAGTTACAATTGCAATAAACATTTATATATTAAATTATTACATATATAAGTTGAAATGCATTACTCTTCAGTTGTTTCTTTTCATTTGCTAATAATATTTGATAGGTTAACATGGAAATAGGAAGTGGTTTTTAAATGTATTAAAACAAAGGCGTATCCTGTCAAAATGAACGTCGTAAAGAAATTCCTATATTAATAATTCATTAAAGCAATACTAGAACACACAATTAACTATTAATAGTAAATTAAACCCTTACATGGCAACAGATCAGAAGGGATATTTTTTCTGCATAAGTGTGGATGCATTGAACTTCTTTGCTTTCGTGACACACATTTAGTAGACGTTCATGTAATACATGACCATTGTTTGAGAATAATACGCATTTGATGTGTTGAAATGCAAATAGCGTTACAGATAGACGATGTTTATAAGAATGGACCGTTTTGACAAGCTAGTGCTGGCACATCACTCAAGGTTCTCGTATCTTGAGCCATTTGACTTCCCTTCCTTTCATTCCTTCCAAGGTTTGACATTGTGCTAACTTAAATGGCTTCGACGCTTTCCTTTTGTCATTCCTCTTCCGACGAAAATTGTAGTTCCCCCGAGAAATAAATTAAATTAAGAAGTGCCTGCTTCTGTGCCCTTCTGTACAAATTCGCTTGATTTAATTGATTTATTTTTGTGCGATTAAGTATTATGTTTATTTGAAAACGAGTCTTGAATGTCAGATTGCGTTACTGGTGCAGTGCTTCCTGCACGTGTAGCGCAAGGTGGCGAGCTGTGGCGAGAACGTTCATGCTTTGCGTTTTATCCAATTATTTTTTTATATAAAAACACGGCCTACCATGAGAACCCACGATGTCGCAAACGGAAGCCATATACAACATAAACTCTTTCGAACAGGCATGGCTGAACAGATGCTAGGAGGGATGGTCTCTGAATTACATTGATTCTCATTTGTTTAGCGAACTGTCACTCTGGCTCATTTCTTAGGGGACAATCTATATGGGGAATGATGCCATTTTCGGCCGAATCTGCCACATTACCTACCTCACGACTTCAAAAATGAAGTGTGAATTGATTTAGCCACCATACAAGAACTAGTGTTTTTGTACCATTACAACGAATACCGAGTGGAAATGCAATAATGAAAATTACACATTCATTACACTTTAATGATATAGAATACATCATACCGTAATTACATAAGCTACTTTAGGCACGGCGAACACGAACAGGGAGTTCCGTTTCACGACGAGTAACATAAAAATAACCCTGATTACGTTCAAAGCATTTCCAAAGTAAGTCGAAGACGTCGGCCTTCGGGTTTACATAAAATTGATTCTTAGCAGGCTCTCAAGGGAACAGTTTTCCCTGCACCACTGTAAACATTTTTCATAATTTCCATTACTCTACTGCTGAAAAAATGAAATATAAATGACGTTGTATTTATCAAACGCCATCTAGGGCTTGTATAATCCGACCTCCCGAGAACATACAAGACCTGATCAAAATGGCCGCCCTAAAAGACATACGAACTGAAATGCTAGTAAAATTGTGGTATCCAGGCGAATACTTTTTACGTAGGTCAAATTACTGTCCTTTACGTAGTTTACCTAGGTAGCGTCCTTTGACTGTACCAATTATTGGCCTGGGCTTAATCGCCTATACGTCTATCCAAGTGCCATGCACTTCAGATTTGGTTTCTTATGTAAAACGTATTATTCTTTAGCTTATAGCTGGCTAAATCGGCAGAACTATTAAACCAATGAACAAAATATCATTATTGTAGTAGAATGAGAAATATCTGAACCCGAAATGTTTGAAATTATTTATAAGAATAGCATTACAATACTATATGAAAAAATAATCTGTGTGATATGACTTCTTTCCTTAGTAGAAAGTTCATTTGTATATCATAAATCAACAGGTTTGTCAATTGTGAATTTGTGGTATCGATTTAAGTATGAGGCCTGAAGTTAAAGCAAAACTATCATGAGGCTATTACTACTACTTGTAATTAAAACACATTTAAATCCTTGTCTAAACATCCACTTTAATTTCATTTGTATTACATACACTATGTACACTGATACAGTAGTGTCTGTAATAAATATTTTACAATAATGAAAAACTGAGTTTCAATCCTATCAACCACAACTAAATTGATTAATTTGGATGTAGATTACGATTCAATGTTGAAAAAGAATTACTGTCTTTTTATTAATATCAAACAATAATCATCCAAAATAAGTGACTCAGTTTGCTTTTTAGCTTCATTAAAAGTACTGAAAAAATATTTTATTTAATTTTGCAATGGGGGATTCCTTTTGCACTTTCTTCAATAACAGCAAGCAGATATTCGTTTTCTAAATGTTATTTCTTTTCTTGAGGACTTTCTCTATACGGAGTGTTTAGGCGATCAAGTAAGCAGATAAGTAGGCAACCAAAGAAGACATAGCTCTTTGAGACAATCGTTATATATAAGGAAGACTTGACTTTCAGTCAATCATCAACAATACAACAACGAATTATTCTCAATTCCACGGTCACAAATACAATCCACAAAGCTGAAAGTAAACACTGAAACTTAGCAATTCACCACTTTTTACTTTATCACAATTCCCTCACCTAGGGCGAACCCCTTATCATCTGATTTCACTATTATCAACAATAACCATCTTACATAATCACAACTCGGGGCTAACACGGGCAACTCAGCGTAGACAACTGAAATGGCTCAACTAGAACAATTCCCCCTTCTCTCGCTTCCATATTGGCTTTGAAACTCTCCGTTGCAGAGCCTGGCGTGTGAGTTGATCTCGGGAGAGAGAAGAAAGAGACCCCAAAAAAATTTTTTTTAAAAGAAAATAAAAAAAACCTTTTCTGTATAGCTGGCACTATTAATTAGAGAGAGACTGGAGAGTTCCCTACGAAGACGGCCTGAAGTTTGGCTCGAATATTACCCGTGAACATTCTGTTTTAAAACCCAAATTGTAGAGACTTCAGGATATGGAAGTTTTGACAATATTGGAAGTTACTAGAGAAAAAATTCTAAGGGAGGAACAAGATACCGCGGGAGTGGAGAAGGTAAACATCTTCCAATTGATTATGGTACAGTGAATCACGAATAATATGTTTGATTTGTGTTGATTCAGGTGTTCTTATTAAAATTATCCTCAAGGGGCGTAATTCAGAGAGGAGGCCCCTTTGGACTGACGGTACGGAACCCTTATTTTAAAGTTCATGCTTCCATTAAAATAATTTTGGGTGTTAAACTTAATTTTAGAAAGTGAAAACATTAACTATAATTATTACAGATAATAAATTAAAACAAAACTTCGTTTAATTTCATGATATATTCAAAAAAAGGGAAAACTTTCTTCGCAAATTTATCAAATGGAATAATTATTATTTTTTCCAAAACCACATTGTTTTTCGTGTTTTTATTAAAATTGATTTAAAAAAATTATCTTAATTACACGATTTCCGTTTTTGGCCCATTTTTTTCTAAACTTTTTCCTTTAAAAAATAATTTTAAAACTTAATTTAAAAAAAGTGCAAATTTCTTTAAACAGAGCAGTTTTGAATTTGAATTTTTAAAAAATCTCTTTCTCCTTTTGCTGAATGCTCTGACTGGTAGTTTTTCGTGGTTCCTCCGTCCTACAACAGGCGAATGCCGGGGCAGCACCCTAACAAACAGGCCACGGACAGCGCACGCTCTTCCCTTATCTTCCTTGTCCTCTCCTCACCGCTTTCTTACACACACGAGCACGAACATGTACTACACTATCACACATACCGAGAGACCGGTCTGGAGTTCAGAGCTTTTCCCGGCTGGGGCAGTGCCCTACTGGTTAGAGATTCCTGGTCAAAACTGTGTTCGTCGATTTGTCCGTCCGCACGTCCGTCCTTTTGTAAGTAACACTAGCGTCTAAAATATTAGTGGGATTTTCCCTAAATATTCATAAAATCCTTTTTCCCTGCTCGATCTGGCCTAACTCAAAGAACTGCCATTTTGATTTTGAAAAGAATTCTTTACATATTTTATATTACACCGCTAAAATTTCTCAAAAGGTTCTGTTTTTTGAAAATTATTGGAAGAATAGACTGAAATAGCAATGACTTATAAAATGGCAAATATCCAATTTTGAGTTTACTCTGAATTTTTAAAAATTACGAACGTTGAATTGAAAGAAACAGTTTTGTAATTTAAAAAAAGATAATAGAATAGACCAAAGTGGAATTTGTTTTAAAAACTCCAAAAGTTTGAATTTTTAAAACAAATTCCACTTTAGTCTATTCTTTTAATTTTTTAAATTACAAAACTCAATTTTTTATATCTCACACGTCGATGTGATTTATATTTCGGAAATTTCTTAAACGTCACATCCTTGAGTATAATTGTATCGGTTATTTTAAAAACCCCAATAGTCACTCTTTTTTGATTTTAACTTTTTGTGAGAAAGTAGATGCTGCAGGATAGATGCACGTATAAATTCTGTAAATCAGATGAATAGAATTGCCGAGAGTACACTACAATGTTTTGGTTTGGTTTGAAACTATGTAAGTCATTGAGCGGCGTGGTATATACGACTGTGACGTCTTCCTGAACGATTGAAAAGACTTACCTTCTTTGCCCCAGAGTCAAAGCGTGTATTCAAATCGAAAGCATAGGGTACTATCAATTGACCTAGTCAGTGGCGGCACATGAATTGAATATGAGGGGAAGCAATGACGGCAAAATCCCCGCCCTCGCTCCTAAAAAGTGAATGCTTGTGAACCACATTGAAATACGGAAATGCGCTTTAAACCTATTAATAGGAAATTAGTGTCTCTTGGTATAATTTCTTGATATTTCAAACCCTCATACGCCATCATAATCGTATTTCACATACCCTATTTTGTATTAATAATTGTGGATTACTAATAAAACACTTTTTTTAAAATATTAGTTTGAAAATATTAAATTTTCAGTACTTTTGAAAATATTGATTACAGACAACCAAGTATATCCACTAGTTACAACATGATGTTTTACATTTTCGCACATACGTTTCGATTGGTATATTCGAAACTTTTCTAACATAACACCCAAATGTGTTTCTTTACAGTTAAATATTCTCCATTTGATGTATTACATGAAATAATAATCACAGTCAATTTGAATTTTTGTTGTGTTGCCTTCACTTGAAAATCAATAAATTTTAACTAGACAGCCGAAAATATTTCCAAATGTTTTTCTTTACTTTAGGTGATCCTATAAAGGTTAGCTCTACCGCTCGTGAATGCCCATGTTAATGCCTATCTTGACAACTCAACGCATGTCTTCATCGCTTTGCAGCCTCCTGAGTGTGTCCTGCAGTTGTGGGTAATCTGCCATGGGCAGACGCAAATCCAGTTCCCCGTTCCACGTCCAGTTCCCCGTTCGCGGATACTGGAATGCTTGAAGCTTGCTATGAAGCGCGCGCTCTCATTAACTTGCTTGAGATGAGAACTCAACAAGTTACCTGGAATTGAGCATCTACACATATTTATGGCTTTTGAGGCATGTCCTTCGTGAGGTGACGTTTGGACACATGATTTCGCCAACATGGCGACCCGACACTGTACTAATATGTACTTTCCGTGTCTATGCAGCGCAATAATTTTTGGTCCTCCATGTGTGACAGTATAATCATTTTTAATCATTTAAATATCCCGCCACTATTAAGACTCGAACCTATCGCCACCCTGACGGAATTCACTGCAGTGAAATTAGTTGATGCCCCTTGCCACCTATGGTGTGCAATAGAAAATCGTTGTCTTAAAACCCCTCCAAATTTTTTTCTTCAGATGTGTTCCAGGTAAAGAACAAAGAACGATTGAGAATTATCATCTCATTATGGTTCATTTATCTGAGTTTTCAAAAATCCCGACTCCAATTAATAAATAACATCTGTAAAATGCGTTTAATTTCCGTTTATAACAAATTATTTGTCGCTTTAAAACTTGCAAAGAATGATGACAACGTCGAACGTGAAGGTGAATTGTAACTCATGATGATTGCAGAAAACTGCATTCGTTTCACATATTCAAGCAGTGATAGGCTGCATTCCTCACAATTTGTTTGAATCAGTAGAAGCGTGGGAAGCATATGAGAATTCCTTAAGTGTGACGTGAATAGGTAGGAGGTACTGATCCATATATGCATTGGAGAAGCGGGAATAAAGGGGGTCACGGGGTACTGGGAATCAGCGGTTAATTATCGATAGTTATTGTAATCAAACTATATTGAAAGGCAGAAAAATGTGCTTCTACCTACCATTTGTCATGCTAACTAGAGCCAGTTCATCGACGCAGCCAAAAAATGTTTACGTTGACGGTTACCACGTTCGTACCAGAAAAGTGTGTGGTTAATGTTAGAAGTGATCTCAGAAAACAAGGTCTTGTGAACCTGTGTACTTCAGCAAATCATTGTCTCATATATTATTTCAGTACTCTAATGCTTTTTACGAATCCCACACGCAAGCGATCTTTATAAATGAGGTCTCTATAGAAATACAATTTCACGAAGATGTGATGAATTGCACTTTGACTTTCAAAATATAATGGATTTGTTTAAAAACGCTTTTAACTATTCATGTCGACTGCAACCCGCAACAATCAGTTATATCGTTGAATAACTCGTAAACGTTCTACGGCTTTAAAACCTCAATTTTGAGGCCGAAAGTCTCAAAGAAAGTTTCTCACACCGTAATCATTTCGTAATAACAAATTAATAGTAAATGACAATAAAACTTTTTCAATGCAGTTTTCCATTTCAAATAAACAGCTCTGCCCTTACTGAAAATGAACGGTGTGCCATTGACTGATGTTAAGGTAACAACATTTTTAAACCTTTCAATTTAGTCGAACCTTAAGTGAAACGTACATTTAAATGAATTGAACACTAAATTAAGTTCTTTATGCTACGCTTTCAGAATTCTTTCAAATTAAGTCAGATTCCACACTGCTCGTTTTGCATATTTCACGAACGTTTATTCCCGCCTGAGATATGGCGTAATATTTTGGGAAATACATCTTATAGCTCCCAGACTTTTAGATTACAAAAAAGAATTGTACGAATAATAAGCAAATCCCACCCGCGTGATTATTGTAAGGCACTCTTTATTAATCTTGGTATTTTACCATTACCTTGTCTCTTCATATATGAATCAGTGTTTTTTGTCAAAAGTGACTTACTTAAGGGCAAGAATATATTTTTTGCAAATGTCGATGTTTATAATTACAACACTCGACGTAGTAATCATATTCATTAGGAGACAACAGCTCACTACAAAAAATTCGCATATAATACATGTACATTATTTTACACCACCTTGTCAGATGACATTAAACGATTAAATTCAATTCAATAAATGAACAAAATCCTACATATTCACAAGTCCCAAGTAAAATATTTTCTGCTGCACAGCTGTTTCTATACATTTGGTGACTATACCAAGCAAAAAAGGAAACTAATATAATTTTAACAATGACATTTAATATATTATATTAATTGTAAAGAACTTGTAACAACTATTGTACTTCACTTTCTCGATCAGGTTTTCGTCCAGTGTCTCTGATCCTCGAGCAAATGCTGAGATGCCCACTGGCTTTGCTTCTGGACATAATTGTAACTTCAAATTAACTTCTTCCCTTGGCTCGTCACACAGTTTCAACTGCTTTTGACTAAAATAAGTAAATCTACAGGATGATAAATTCTTGGATAGTCTATTAAATTTTTGCTGGTTCGACACTTCCGATACTATCAATGCCACCTTGGTTTCAACCCTTGGTAATAGTGGCCATCTTTGTGACGTCACGCTTAGAAGGCTTGGATTCTTCTAATACTATTTGTGTTTTCTGTGTACACCTTTGTGTCCGCAGACTGGGATTTATTTGCATAATTATTAATTGAAGATTCGCTCTCGCAACAACAACTAGAAGTGAATTCTCGGCTATCCGGGAGACCTCAGGGCAGTGCCTCAGGAAGCCTGCGAAATGTCAGGCGAAACGTCGGCACCCCAGCCAACGACGCGGCGTCTCCCGGATAGCCGAGAATTCATGGATTCGAGCCGCGGAAGCTTACGTACACAACAACTAGAAGTACTATAGATAGTTGCGTGTTGCCAAAGAACATTTTTTCTCATGTTTGTAGTGAAAACATTCATTTAAGGATTTGCCGACGTCTACTAGTGCTGTCTACTTGACTGCGAAGGGATGTAGGTGCACATTGAGGAGTGAAGACGTGTCTGGTTAGGATTGGTTTTTGTTTTACCCTTACCAGTATTTTATTATCAGCAGTGATCCGGTGAAACTTTCAAGTCAGCGTGTTTAGTCACGTAGCTTTCTCAAGAGTAAAAAGCATTTTTCACATTTTTGTGACTACCATGAAAGGCAAAAAGCTAACTATCAAAGAATATTGAATCATTACCTCAAATATTTTTCTGAGAATATTGTGAATTGTTCCAAAAAAACCCTCGATAATACTGGATATATCTTTTGTGAAAATTTCTTTTCCACATCAGTAGCAGTTGTTTTCTCATTTTTATTTGATATTGTGTTAGTATAATGGGTGTTACATTTTTAAACATATAAATATGTTTCGGTAACCACTGTCCCTCTTAGAATGGAAATAGGAGAATAGTAAGAGTGTGGGGTTTGACATCCGAGAGTTCTCTCACGGGTACGCGGAGGTAGTGGGGAAAACTTGTGCTAATGCACAACACAGAGAACAGTTGTTTAACTAAAGTAAAATAGCTTGAAATAAATATCCAACAACAATGAAAACGCGATAGCCTACAGTACTACGTGAATTAATATAAAAAAGCAACCACATGTAAAAGTACAGAAAGAATAGAGCAAGTCATTCAACAACTACCGACTATCACAATACAGATACGTGATTTAAATGATCGCGGTATTTGGAATTCTGTACATCAATGCGCAGCTGTAAACTCATAATGCAAATAATACACCATTTTGTATTACACTTAAGGTGTCAATTCTCTAAGATATTCAATACGTAAACATCGTTTGAGCAGTGGAAGTGAAGTCTAAGCGTACAGAATTGTTTCTGATGGTAACTAATGGTTCTCAAAGATGTAAACATTAGCCATTTTAATTTTTTGGGGTCGGCGTTTCTTGAGGTATGTAAGAATGCAAAAAATAATCCTATAGTTTTTAGTATACAAATTTTTTTTTCAATTTCCTCACCCTACCAAGCTGACGATCCAAAGTTCTCTTAAGTTCTCCCGAAAAGAATCCCGAATTCCCTTAAGTTCTCCCGAATCCAGAAAAGAAACAATTGACAAAGATTATTACTTACCGAAAGAAGCAATGAGTATTGATGACATAGTCATGGTTATCACTGTCCTGGCGAAAATAAACGTTTTCCTTACTAATTTCACGCTTAATGGCTACGCTCACCGCGCTTTGTCGATTGAAGTCGTAGAATGCAGAAATGTGCTGGGAATTGCGTGGCAGCGCACCGAATCAAACTTTCAATGCGCCCAACACACTTCCAGGCAGCTTCCGTGCACGATGGCTACGAAACTGCTCACGGCTTCACCAATTTTCATGACAATGCGAGCTCATCGCGTCTGATGAGAAAAACATTGGACTCCGAGAAATCAAAATATATGTTCATCTTTCGTCGCGGCCATCCAGGAGGTGACGCAATCTATGGGTGACTCTACGAACTAATAGAAAGCAGATGGCAATCGATTTTAAAGAACTTTGTACAAAAAATTAGTATTTGGTCAACTGGGAAGGGATTTGCGCGGATTTTCGAGTGTTCCCGTACTCTTCGCGGCGGTAAGTTTAAAATGTATGATCTTCTCTTCTAAAATAGATTCAATGAGCAGCAAAACTGAGCTATTCTAAGCGTGGTGCTAACATTAACTTACTTTGGTGATCAATGTGCCAACAACTACACTAACGGGACTAATGTTCTGAGCAGTTGATGTGCCCGGAAACATCAATAAACTAATTGGAGCTTGGCAACATTCACAGATTTGTCTTGAGTTCAAGATCCGGTATGTTTATGACCAAGTTCATTTCCCTTCGAATAACAACGCAAAGTTTCCGCGTAACCACTTGCAAGGTTTTTGTTGAGCGTTGTTTGTGTTTTGTGCGCAGATGGCGGCGGAGCAGGCGCGCAGCGAGGCCGAGGGGGACGTGCTGCCGTGGACGGTGGCCGAGTTCTACCGCGGGCAGAGCGTGCTGCTGACGGGCGGCTCGGGCTTCGTGGGGCGCGTGCTGCTGGAGAAGCTGCTGTTCTACTGCCCCGACATCGACACCGTCTACGTGCTGCTGCGCCCCCGCAAGGGGCTCTCGGTGCAGGAGCGCCTGCACAAGCTGCTCGACGTCCCGGTCAGCACCACACACTAATGTTACAAATTTCTACTACTTTCTAGTAGTAAAAGCAATTCTTATTGACTGATCGAAAATGATCACGTTTTGCTAATGAACATATGGTAGTTGATATCAAAATATCAAGTTACAGTTGAGAAAAATACCCTTAATTATCAGGCAATCTTAATGCCCAGGTGCTCATCAGGTGACGGTTTAAGGAACTAATGTCATCAATTTCCCTTTCAAATCAATTTCGTGCCCATACAGAACATTGTACTTACGGGGTTGCCTAACAAATAGCGGATATACCACATGTAACCCTTTGAATGAAGCTTCCCATTTAATGTTCATTGGCTAATATTTTAACCTCTCTTAATGCCTACACGTTTGTAGTGTTTATTCGGAGACATCAGTACATTACTGGATAGACAATTGCGTGATCAAAGTGTATCATTGTAATGACACTGGCACTGCGCATAGCTTTACAAGGCCTGCTTTAAACTAGCAGGACTCTTCATGCTTCTAGTAATTATTTACTATCTACTAATCTAGAAAATTGTCTACTAATTATCTTCTAGCAACAATCCATCAATAGGTTGTGTGTTAATTCATCTAATGACAATGTGGTGTAATATTACGGTAATATAACAACATGTATCAAAGGAGATATTTTAATATATTCATTAAAAATATTTTTAAAGATTACGATTATAATAGGCAAAATAATTTAGTATTTGTGTTGTTGAAATGTTGAATAATAATTCACATCGTTACGACATTAGAAAATTTCAGTTCTGTTACCTTTATTTACAGAAGATTATAAAATGAGATAAGTGTGTATGTGTGTTTACAATATACATTATACACTTACATTTGGCACACTTTGTGCTTACATACATGCACATTGTACGCATAAATGCATTTTCACGTAACCATAATTAATCAGTTTTAACCTTTTCAAACCATTTATGAAAATATAACCAATCACCACAATGTCACAATATACAATAACAGTTAATTAAGCCTACCCTAACACGTGATATACTCATTATCATAGCACAATGAAGTAGCTAGGCACATTAGCATTAGCAAAGCCAAAGAGGGAGAGAGAAAAGATGACAAAAAAAAATATTCCACTTATTTTCACTGCACTGCCCCGCACGTTTTCAAATTTGTATACTCAATACTTTGTCTACGTAAACAATATTTATCGTTGAATGAAATATGAGCCTTAAGAATAACACAGTTACAGGACATTTCAAATTTACTAAACAATCATCTGAGTCCAGTCGTATTGAAAGTTTTAACATGTTTAAAAATATCAAAATTCAAAATTTCCTGAATATATACCATTAATTCAATGTTCGCATTCTGCAGGAAGGCACTTAAAGCGAGCTCCCTTTTGATACACAATTGCACATCATATGACAGCTATATTAGTGGGGACGTTACTGAACGTGAGACAGAATAAACACACACCCATCGACCTGCCTCGCGAGTGCCTGTTTGCGTCATTGAATGCCTTGCCCATTGCGAACTTGGTGAGGTTCGCAACAGAGAGTTTAGTGTCTCAGTATAAACATTAAAAACTTTTAGGGCTTGTACAGGGGGCAAAATGTTTCATTGTTTGGAAACGAACGTGTGGTAAAAAACATTCCAACATGAGAGATACGCATGTGGTATTGGCATTAAATGCTAGGGTAGTCCGATGCGCAGGTGATCGAGAGCTACGTGAAATTATTAGTGCGTCCCAACGTGAACGGGGCTTGCATAAAACCTGTGAATATCGTGTTGTTTAATATAAACATTTACGTAACATTTGTAATTTATGTATTATGAAAATTCTCCAAAATGTTTAGCGGCAAAATTGATCATCTTCCACTCTTTTACGTTTCCCAAAAGATTGTAACATTTATTCGTAGACAATGTACCATAGCGCATACGTACCAGCTAATGCCCGGTTGAATGTTCCGACAGCCGTCAGCTGTTTCGCGAGTCCGAGCGTCCAACACCACCAACGGGACCACCCGTGGTTTTTGCTTATTCTGGGCTCGTGCTCGTGCGTAGTCAGAAAAGGAGAAAGGTGCCACCTGCCCAGAAGCCCTAGCCTATCCAGGTGGTTTATGCGCGCCCTAAAACGGACGATATTTTCCATTATTCGATTTATTCAAAATACACTATTAAATAAATTGAATCACATAAAAAAATTCACGAATGTACATAATAGTATAAATATCTACCTGTATAAAAATTATACCAAAAATACTTCTGGGGTTGGCTGAAATCATTCCCCCTAAAATACATTCTGGATCCGCCCTAGCACAGGGGTGAATATCTTCCCTTGTCACTTGTATTCGTTTCGAGTCAAGTTATTGCAAATGATAATTCTGGGGAGTATTGTTTTTCCATGTAACTATCGTAACGTCGAGTTCTCGCAGGCTCAGTATCTCAAAAGTGTGTACATATCACATGATAAAATGTGAAACGCTACGCAAAACTCTCCATTTATAGCCCTCGCAGTCTCCACCGAAGACCCGCCGCCCATGTGCCGTTGCCAGAAAATCGGCTCCCGACTGTTGCTACACAATGTGGCTGTCCGTGAGTCATGGGCAAATGTCATTTGATGGTTAACAACACTTGATTGGTGGCAGCTGCTCTGCCAAAGCGGCCGACCGCTCAGGGCCACCTGCAGATTTTCGTGGGAGCTGCGTTTGTTTCTCCCAAACAGTGAAGGGTTCGCTGTTGCAGCTTGAGTGCACCGCTTGGGAGACTTTCGCCCGCATACTTTCACAAGGAGCCCCTCAGAAGCGCTTCCGAGAAGTGCCCATCCCCTTCACACAGCCATCGTCCAGCGCAACTGCGCGGGGAGATGGGGCGGATTCGTGAGATCCAGCAGCCGACAAGTTCACAGACGAACTCAATGCCGCTTGCGAGTGACCTTACGCGAAGGCTCTCATTTAACACTGTGTTCTTCAGGCAGCGGTGGGTGGCGCGTCTGCGCTGCTGATTAAGGGAGTGGGCCATTAACAGCCAAAACAGCGCCCTTGCGCCGCTTAAGCGCTTGTGTGAATACCATCTATTAAATTAGTCCTGTCCCATCTATTAAATTTTCCCTGGAGAAAGGTCAAACTTTTTTGGGTATGATGTATGTCCCTAGAAACTGGTTAAAATTCAAACTTTTTGACTTGCTCACTATTTAAAATTCGTTAGTTTCGAAAAATTGGTATTTTCTGATCTTTTTCGGTATTTTTCTATTATAAGAGATTCAAACGAACTTAACAAATGATAACATTTCTCTACCAGGTGCAAAGGGACCCTGTGTATGCCCTTACAGTTAGAATTAAGAAAAAGAAATTAGAAAAATGCACAAAAGTAAACAATTTTATTTCTCAAAACATTGGATGTATTTATTGATAACAATCATCCCCTGATCATCTCTGTCAGCCAGGGACACTGTGATATTGTTTGTAAATATCACTCGATTCCCACACCACCCTTCTAGGTGTGTCTTAACCCCACAATATATTCTTATCCATTGTATCTCCCCAGAAATAACGTATACCAGGTTTTGTCGAAAAGATCGTGTTTCCATGTTGAAGAGTTATACACATTCATCAATTTCTTTATATATTAATATTTCTGGCAATGGTTGCATTTGTTGAATATTTTTTTACACCGACAGTGAGGTAAATAACAATATTATATTTAATAATAATTAAGATCTCTTAAATCGCTTGATAATTCGATTCGAAGGACACATTTTACACAATAGGTGGAGGATATAAATCATCTTTAAAATTGATTTGAATCATTTTTCTAAAGTAAATAAGGTTATAGAGTTTTAAAGAAAAGCTGGAAAAAAAGTCAGAAAAAATTCGGGTTTTCAGGACTCCCGCATTTAGCCCACTGACTAAGATGTCGAAAACTTTGTATTCTAGCTAGAGCCTGCGTACATACAAGAAAGAAAAATAACGTATGAGCTTTATCCGACCAGAGTAAATGCTCTGCCAGCAGCCACCGGATGGGTCCGAGTGGCTGACGCGCGCTGTGTGGGTGTTGCGCAGCTGTTCGACCGGGTGCGAGTGCAGCGGCCGGAGGCGTTGGGACGCCTGCAGGCGGTGGAGGGCGACACGGCGCAGCCCGGCCTGGCGCTGGCGGAGGCGGACGCGCGCGTGCTGGCGGAGCGCGTGTCCGTGGTGTTCCACCTGGCGGCCAGCGTGCGCTTCGACGACCCACTCATCAAGGCCGTGCGCACCAACGCGTGCGCCACGCGCGACCTGCTGGAGCTCGCCATGCGCATGCCCAAGCTCAAGGTACGCCCACCCACCGCTCATTCCGCTCACGAAGAGTGGGGGCTCTTAGCTGCACCCGTAAAGAAAGGTATTGCAATGCTGCAGCACAAAATGGAGATTTTTTGTCAGAAAAACTCACATGGGGGCTCTGATATCAAAACAAGTAGTAATTCTTGTTCCTATAACATGTAATATAGTCAGATTCCACGCAAATTTATTTAATTACCTATCTGTATATGTGTCTGTCAGTTCTTCCAGCCGGCCATTCCTTCATGTTGATCAACACTAAGCACCTAAACCAATGATTTCCCCCCAAATTGGCATTCCCCCCTCAATGTTCCCGAACGGTTCTGAGAATTAAAAACGGATATTTTTATTTTGGAGAGTAATATATTACTCCATATATAAGTAAACTTCCGGGAAAGTAAAAATTAGAAAATAATAAATAATATGACCGTCAAATTTCGGTCTTTTTTGCGGGATTTGATGTAAAATGGCTTCACTATTCGAGAAAAAATGTGGAGAAAATTTTCCTAATTGAAGAAACCTCTGATCATTGGGCCTGAGTCGAAGCTTTGCGATTTTCAAACTATTCTTAGTTTTGGTGGGTACATTACATGAAGCACCTGGAACATATCGAAATTTTTTTTCAAAAATTACTCTCATTTTATCTTTAACTTTATTCTAAGAATATAGTAAAATACACTTATAAAAGTGGCAAAGAGACGATTTTCACAGTCAACTCTAAATTTTCGAAAATTGCGAAATTTAGAATTTTTTGGAGGTTTTCTTACAGCTACAAAATTAAAGATAGAGGTATTTCCTTAAACTGAAATTTGTTATCCATAATTTGTTCTTTCATTAAGGTCATGTACATTTTTTTGAAAATTTGAGTAGTTTTCCGGCAATATTGCATGCAATTTATGCAATATTAAAAAATAACAAAAACAAGATTTTATTAAAAATGGCTTCAAATGTTTGTTTGGTAGAGATTGTGTTGAATACACTGTAAGATGACATAAACGCCACATTGCTCTATTTTTTGTGTTTTAAAACTTACAAAAATGTAATTGTTTTGGCTTTCTCACGCCGATAATATTTACATTAGCAGATATTTGTTTGCATAATTATATTTATCTGTAAAACTTGCTCAACTTTTACATTTTCAGAAACCGCCAATTTTTTATTAAACGACTCCAAATTTTGCATATATGGTGTTCTTACCGTTCTGAAAATAATATTAAATATATAATAATAATATACTACGCTAGGGAAGAAATTGACCGCGTCAAAACATTTACAGATCTGGGGGCAAAATTTTCCATGAATGGGGGATGGAATAACCATATATTGACGGCTCACAGCAAAGGAAGAATAAAAGAGAGAGATCGTTATGGGGTTGCGAAAGTTACATACATACTCTCGGAAAGGACGCAAGAGGGGGATACTCTTGGGTTCAGGGTTGGCGGGTGGATGCAGCGTAGACTAAAGGACGCAAGTGTAATGGCATCTGTGTGCTTTGCGGTGATAGGGAGCAGAACTAGATCCACATGCCTCTTTAATTTGCTGTGCAACCGAACATGGAGAAAAAAATGGATTGGGAATGGGAAATTTACTACTTCCCTAAACAGGAAACGTAACGCTGCCGCCCAAAACATTTTTAAGGTGACAAAGGATCCTAAATTTTTAATGAAAGAATAGGAACATTTTTAAGGAAAGGTCCGGACCATCTAAGGAAACTGAAAATTAGGGAGTGGGAAAAAACAGGCACTGGTTAGCTTGAGCGGGAGCACTAGACTGGGAAGAGAAATACAGTAAGTCAATAAGCCTTCAACAATAAGTACGTAATTTTATGTTAAAGTTAGTAAACAGTCAGTAAACAGAAATAAGTTCATAAGCGTATCATTGTGGTAAATAACTGGTCAATTACAGAAATAAAATAAAACTGGCATAGTAATTAAAGCAACATTAGGGGGTGAAGGGAAGGGGGGATCGAAAAAATGCAAAGGGCCGAGGCGTTGGGTTGCGGAGCGATCTTCTGTGGCGCCGTTTGATTTCAGGTGCTGAGGAGGGCCAAGGCACTGGAAGGAGAAACGGCGGGACGCCCTCGCCAGAAATTAAATAGCTAAAATAAAATGTCGGAAATAGATTAGAATGGTACTCGCTTTCTGACGGCAAGTTTTTTCCCCCTTCTAGGGGTTTTTCTTCCCTGAGCCGTACCTTGTGTGTCTCTTTCACGCGTACTTTGAATTTGCGAATTGGACGAGACCATTTTGGGGGTGAAATAAGAGATTTCGAAAGTAATTAGAACATGCGAATAGGATGTGGTATTGTAATTGGCTTAATAGGCCTTCGGC